GTGACATAGTCACGGGCCTTGTCGCACTTTGCATACTTCAGGCCAAAAACTTTGCATATTTTAGGCTGATTTTGGAAGATTTTTGCGACACTCATATGTGAGAGTTGCGCGGGGCCTCTTGCATACGTACGTGACGCGATCGCGCGATCTCACGCACATGGTCAGGTGATCGCGTCATTCCCAATCCGAGGGGTGCCGGTGAACTTTCTTTTATCACTTCCGAAAGACTACTACTACTTAGTGTGTTCGTGTAGTATTTCTAGGCATCTGCCTAGTTATGGCGAGACACATCAGGAAAACTTAAATCCGCTTGCATAGGCTTGTTTCCGCTTGTTGGAATCAAACAAAGAGATAAGCCCGAGAAAGTCTCAGGACCTCCTTGTTCTGGATTTTCCCCCGATTTACGGCTTCACTTGCCCGCCTATACAAGCCAATTCAAGCGGAAATAAGCACAAAAGGAGGTTCGTGAGCCACAAGCCGATTTGAGTTTTCCTGATGTGCCGCTTTGCAGTAACGGCGAAATCGCAGCAACAGCAGCAGCGCAGAGCTCAGCTGTAGTGACTTCGATAACCATGATGCAAGGGCCTTCGGCCCTGCACTATTTTCGGCTCAGGACGCTCTATGAACCACCTCTCGGGTCACGGCCTAGTGCTGAAGCGGTTTTCTTTGAGAGTATCCTCCATATCAGCATGTTGCATCGCGTCAGCTTTGCGATGCATTGCCACGGCTAATTTGTGAAGCCGAATAGCGTCATCTTGGTGAGTAATATATTAGCATGCTGACTTGGAATCGAATTTATCATCGGGAAAACAATTGATTGCTCAGCAGCAGACTTATCCGGGAATGACCCTGAAGCTGCAACATTGTCGATCACATATAAAGCCCGCAGTTGAGAACACGTCTCGTAAATCATCTTCTCCTACAACGCAGCATGTCGTCGACGGCGACCGTCCCCAAGCTCTTCCAGCCTATCAAGGTCGGCGGGCGCACATATGCTCACCGTGTCGTGATGGCGCCACTGACGCGTTTCCGTGCGAACAAAGCGCATGTGCACGGCGACCTTGCGGTAGAGTATTATCGCCAGCGGTCGACGGTCCCCGGCACTCTGATAATCACCGAGGCGACATTCATCGCTGCGAAGGCCGGTGGGTACAAAAACGTACCGGGGATCTGGAGTGACGAACAAGTAGTTGCCTGGAAGGCGGTGGGTGGTCTTTGTCGGGAGATAGTTGCGATAGGCAGCTCACGTTATAGATCGCAGGTGACCGACGCGGTCCACGGGAACGGTTCTCGCATCTTCTGCCAGCTATGGGCTCTAGGTCGGGCCGCTGATCCTAAAGTCCTTGAAGAGGAGGATGCATCCTTCCCTTTCGTCTCTTCTTCCGACATTCAGATGACGGGCAGGCCGAAGGCGCCTCGCCCTCTGACCATCCCAGGTACACGATTCCCTTAATTGTCACCATACGTCCGTTTCTGATGTTACATACAGAGACAAAGGAGTATGTCAAGCTGTTCACAATCGCCGCCAAGAACGCCATACGCGCAGGCTTCGATGGTGTCGAGCTTCACGGTGCAAATGGCTATCTCATCGACCAGTTCCTGCAGGACGTGAGCAACAAGCGCACTGACCAGTACGGCGGATCGATCGAAAATCGCAGCCGCTTTGCTCTCGAGATCATTGATTCTGTCACGAACGTGATCGGCGAGGAGAGGATGGGCATCAGATTGAGCCCTTGGGGCGAGTTCCAAGGTATGCTGTAGAAGTATCCGGACACCTTGGCAGATGACGACGCCCATGGATAGATATGCGTATGTTGGACCCAAAGCCCACGTTTTCATTCCTGGCATCCCAGATCGCCGCACGACATCCGAACTTTGCATACATCCACGTCGTTGAGCCGCTCACGAACGGGAACCCGGATCGCGTTCCAGTCCCAGGGGAGGTGAAATTCGTTGCATTGGCCCCATCAAATCGTTGTCGCTGATGATCTATCATGCAGAGCAACGACTTCCTGCGCAAGATTTGGGCACCGCGTAGGTTCATAAGTGCGGGCGGACACAGTCGCGAGACTGCGTTTGAGACGGCTGAGAAGAACGGCGACCTGGTCGCGTTCGGACGATTCTTCATTTCTCACGTAGGGCCTCACATTATGATCCGCATTTCCTCATTCGTTGACCATGTTGTGCCTAGCCCGATTTGCCGCTGCGTCTCGCGCAGAACCTGCCTATCTCGGAGGGGAACCAGGACACGTACTACAGTAAAGAGGATCCGCATGGCTATATCGACTATCCGTTCACTGACGACACACCGGGCAAACTGTAGCCCTCAGGATGTCAACGCGTACAGAAACGATCGTTGGCACACTATTAGAAGTAGATATCCGAGATGAGTGGGACATCCCTTGCGATTCGCAGAAGTATTGTATGCAAAGTAAAGCACACATCCGTCACTGCATTGTACATTGCTCATGCCTCATGCACCATGGGACCGAGATGGTTTCTACCTCAGGAATGTCAGAGTTATCAAACATCTGGTACAAGGACCTGCTATCATTGGAGAAAGACTGTCTTCTGAGGCAGCTCCATCAATGACAGGAGATGTCGCTGACCTTATAGAAGGAGGTTCCATGGCCTTCATATTTCTTCTTTGCGTCAATGAATTGAAAGCTGGTTAAGCCAGAGATTCATGTCTAGTAGAGATAGAGAGGAACAGTATAATTCTAAAATCATTGATGCACTTAGAGGCAGAATAGATGCCTGTCTTTAGCCATTGACTGGTGCAGAGCAGACGCACAAATGGTAATACAGCTTTAAAGCCAAGAATATCTGCTACAACTTGCCATGTGTGCACCGTCTTCACGTTCGATCTGGACACTCGTGAGCAACTACGACAGACTCGATTCACCTAAACATTTCATTCGAAGTCATGAAGACGTTTTGTCTGCTATCAGAAACTATCGCAAGGCATCATAGGTACGATTGAATCCACAATTAGAGCCCGCGGTGTGTACTGGCCACTAATGCATACTGTGAAGAAGGATACCGACCAAATGTTCGATTTCATATCTGAAGCAAGGAACGACTACCGTTCATCAAACTGCATCCGATCCCTCGTGGGGGAAACTACCGGCCTTCACGCTCTTCCGGTCGCTCTCTTCTCCCGTCCTTGTTGTCGTCGTGGTGCTCTGGGTTATCACAACAGGTACATCGAGGCCATGGTCCGTTCGAGCAGTGCTCGTCCGTTGCATCCGGAAGTTCATGCTCTCAAGCCTCGTATGCTCCTGCTCCATGGTAATTCCCATCCCTACGCGTACGATGATCAGGTCGAATTGTATACCCGCAATCTGCAAGCTCTGCAAGGCAAAAGATACAATCTCAGATCAGCAAAAAGCCAAGGTCTTAAGAAAGCAGTGATTTACCATGTCCGAGACGCAGTATACCGCGTTATTGCCCGTCAAGTTTACAATCAAGAAGATGATTGAAATAACGGTATAGAGGAGAGCAGACTCGATCAGGATCCGGAAGAGCTGTGTCCACGTCACGGTGGCTCGCACGGTGCTCCCCGAATTGTTGGGGAAATAACGCGAGGTCGACCGGTGGATCATCAAGATACGATACAGTGTCAAACCTACAGTACAAATACAAACGCGTTAAATGCGCGCACATTCTGGTACCGGATAGACACGTACCTGTGGTAATAACGTTAACACTCACTGATAGAACGAGGAAGGCGTCGAGGAAGTTGTCAAGAATTGTCGCTCCGGACAAATCCGTGAGCAGATTGAGTGTAGCGCCGTAGTATACCACCGATATACCACACGACATTCCAGCAAGCCATAAGAACAGGGGAGGGAAGGCTACTCTCCAGTTGCGGGAGTATACAATCCAGAGGCGATAAACCTGCCAGGGGAAGCGTGCGATTCACGTTCACACTATCTGCTGCGACAAGGAGTCACTGCCACGCACCTGGATTGCATCTGCGACGACGAAGGCGAATACGTTAAAGGCGCTCTGCATTGCCATTATGAGCGTCCATGGAGGCAATCTATGACAGGGTCAGGCTTACCCTTGCAGCATTCACCCAATTCGAAAGCTCTTCAAAGACGTGACTGGCTCCACCAGGTCCCGTGTAGAAGATGAAGGCGGTTAGATTGCGATAGAAATTGAAAGCGATGTCCAGTGTGCCGAGGATAAAGAGTGTGATAGAGAACAAGAGCAGCGTCACATTTACATGTCGTTCCAAGCCCTTCGGCCTGCGCAACAGCGTCCACATGCATGTCGTGAATGTTGAGATATGGATGCCATAGGTAATACTCTCGGTGAAGATAGCAACGAGCTCCGCCTCTGCTATGAGGAACTTGGCCATTGCGGCTGTGCCACGGGCAGATGGGTGAGGGATGAGCGGGGCCCGGTAGCAATCTTCTGATCATCGGAATGTCTTATTGGTGGCACACTCCGGACCTATGAATGGAAGACTTCTCGAGCGCGGCATGCATGCTTCTCGCTAGCCGCGTTGCCCGATAGAACGATGCCAGGCGAGTTCCCTGCCCATTTCATCATAGAAAAGTACACGTTGCGGAACATCCGCTGAACTCAGTGCCATTAGCGGCGCTCTGTGCCCATGGCATTCACGCGAGCAAATGGTTCTCCAATGCGGTTTTATGTCGTCTGAGAACTGGAATGATTTGCTTTGTCTATCGGATAATGTAAGAATTTATTGCGCAGACCAATGACACGATCACGACATGGGCAGGCTCACTGTACGATTATTGAGAGAAATCCTGTTCAGCAACTGCTGCCACTTGAAATCATGAGAACGTGCGGGTGTTCTATTCATCGATGATCCCGCCCATATGAAGCCGGCCCAGTGCATGGTCGTTGTTAGCTTCTGCTTACCTATCTCCGTTGAGACCGGGACTTCTTCATCCAAGGTTGTCCCAGGCTCCTCCACAGCCTTTCTTCGGGAGTTTGGGGGGCCTTAGTACTAAGGGCAGGAGGACCGTGCCACATCCGCCGCCACACCTCAGCAACTTTCCAGCCACATTTTCATACAGTCGTTAGGGATTGAGATTGTGGAGTTTGAAATACGTAATCCCATCATGATCGGGCACATGGTGAATGATCGAAATGTGGCACAAAGTCGCCCCCCAAACTCCCGTGGAGGAGGCCTGCCGCCTGCGGTTGTCCATGCTTGTATCAACTCAATGCGATATGGTTTGGCCGGGCACTGAGCTGGAGGAAAGATCTTCCCTCGCAATGCAAGCTCAGCAGAGGGCCATGACGTAATCCAATCATCCGACCTTCGTTGTCCCTTCAACAGTTAACAGCCCATCAGTGGGCTAGAAATGCTTTGATAAGAGCGATGCTTCTACCCGAAGCTATTCGAAAAGGCTGCATAACACACGGTTTGCCTTGGCGGACTCCCCCGTCTTCACTAACGTCGTGCCTATCAACCAGTAGCACACATTATATCGGCTCAAGTCCAGTAGCATGGAGAATCATCCGGAATTCGGTCATGCGACCCTACCATTCTTTGCAATGGAACCTAGGTATGCAAACCTAAATCATGGTCAGTGTACGTCGTCCAATCGATCATGCTAGCTACTGAGTACCACCTACAGGTACGGCGGGCGGTATTCCGCGGCGTGTCGAGGATGCAAGCCAAGGCCTGGCTGCTCGTATCGCAGCGAATCCAGACCGCTTCATCTGGTTCCACTATCGACCGATGCTGGAGGAGGTGCGCGGAATGGTTGCTAAGCTGATCGGCGCAGATCCCAGCGAATGTGTATTCGTGCCGAACGTCTCTCATGGGATCAGCGTCGTGTTGCGGAATTTCAGTTGGGAGGAAGGCGATGTTATCGCCATCAGTACGTCCGTCGCTTTACACCGCCTCCTTCGTCTTATGCTAGGTGTTGTCAGCCAATTGCACGTTTGGAACCATCAGTGCTGCAGCACGTTACGTCTCCGATTCCCCTCCTCATCCGAAGCTCTCCAAGTTCGCTCTATCTTTTCCAGAGACGCGTGCCTCTATCCTTGAGCGGTTCCGCGAGTATCTCAGATCCCTGAAGGCAGAACAGCGCCGATCTGCGTCCGGGATTCTCAAGGGCAAGATTGTCGCGGTGTTGGATAGCATCTCAGCGACTCCATCCGTCTACATGCCCTGGAGGGAGATGGTGCAGATCTGCAGAGAAGAATCAGTGTGGAGTGTCATTGATGCGGCACATTCGCTAGGCCAGGAAGTAGACATCAACCTAACAGAGGCAGCGCCTGACTTCTGGGTGTCGGTGCGTTTTCCTTATCATCATAAAGCCGAACTAGATGGATCTGTTTATGCGGCCAGAGCTGCTCAAAATGGATGTATACCAAGTACGGTTGTGCACTGCTCTATGTGCCAAAACGGTTGGTGTTTATTTGTCTTTGCTGAAGTGACGAATAGAGTGGTGCTGATTGCTCTCTGCTAGCAATCATCACATCATCAAGTCCGCATTCCCTACGAGCGTTACATACGGGGCACGTTTAAATGGAGGACAAGATGATCTCCAATCGAAGTTCTTCTGTGAGTTGACATGTTTCATACAGCTGTTTTGCCTATCCTTTGACACTGGCTTTCGACACTGGTCGTAGGGACCGGAACGCTAGACTTTACGATACCTCTGAGTATCAAGCCAGGTGCGTCGCTGCCCTGCAAGGCTGGATTACTTGACGATTATCGCCCTGTATAGCCCTAGAATTTCGAAGCTTTTTAGGTGGCGAGAAGAAAATCAACGAATACTGCCGTGCATTGGCACTTGCTGGCGGGAAGCGGCTCGCTGAAATCCTGAATACGCGCACAATGTTTTCGGATGACTTTGACGAGGCGAAGGCGCTCACTGCGAATATGGTCTGCACACGCACTGTGTTCTGGACACGCGATGGCTGACACCTGTTTCAGATTAACGTCGAGATCCCGTTGGCAAGCTCAGTAGCGCCGACGTCGGCTGTCACCCTGATGTTCCAGGATAAGCTGCTCAACCAACACAACGTATATGCGTCGCAGTTCTACTACGATGGCAGATGGTGGACGAGAGCAAGCGCGCAGGTATACAACGAGGTGCGCGAAGCATCGTCATGCAACCGTTATATGGCGCGTGACATGTGTATCGTGGCGCGTAGATTAGTGACTTCGAGAAGCTCGGGAACGCTCTACTGGTTGTATGCGCGGAGATCACGAAGGAGGTTGCAGAGCGAGCGAAGATATGACAGCACATCGGTTTTGCACCCTTTCGTTTTGTCTGTTGCATCGCAGCTGCTCTTCGCTTTCCGTCTAGACCACCATAGCTTTGCATATCCTCTGTCGCTAAGACTGTTTTTCTGCCATGCTAAGACCGATGCTGCCAGGCCCGCGATACCTCTCATGCTTCGCTAATGCGCTTCTTTTCTCACTGTCGAATCTCCGCGTATACATGCCTGCATACACCTCAAGCCAGCGGAAGCACCAGGAGGAGAGTGCTCAGGATCAGCTCCTGTGCTACCCTTCGGATCCATACCCGTTCAGAATGATGTATTACCCGACTTGCGGCACCCATCAATCCTGCCCAATCCACGGCCCGACATGTGCGGAACGCCCACATTAATGCTTTGACGACCCGTTGTACAGAAAGACAAAGTCAGAATAGCAAAAGATCAAGACCGTTCGAAGCGCAGTTCCGCAAAATCTAGGGCAGTTCGGACAATACGACGGAACAACTTGCATACAATCCCCATCACTCCGGGCGCTAATTGCCATTAATTGATCAAATCTTCGACCATAAACTGTTGATTGTTTGATGAGGGGTGTCAGCTGAGTCTATATGACGGCAACAGACTCTCCGAAATGGAACCTTCTGCATATGCTCCTTCGACCTGGTGACACCGAGAACGTCTAAGAACAGCAGGCGAGTATGCAACGTGCCCGTCCAACTTCCGAGCTTCGCTTAATCTGCATAGGTACCATCGCGGATATTTTGGACAACGGTGTCCATGGCCGCGACCCGCATTCACATAAGAATCCTCAAGCTTCCATCGCGATCTTCGTGCTCTACCCACACCTACCACCGCAGTGCAACGCCGTTCATTCCCCAGATCCACGCATGAACAACCCTGAAAAGGTTGATCCCACCCACGTCGAGGATGCTGCAAGCCTCGATAAGGGACAGCAGCAGTTCGGAAACCTCACGGCACTTGCACAGGCCGCTGCGACGGATAAGGCGCTATCGCCGCTGCATGCCGTGCGCGTGTACTGGCAGGCGACGTTTTGGTGTCTATTCATGTGTATGGGCGCCCTCCTGTGGGGTTACGACTCGCAGGTGTGCACGGGCATAGCGCATTTCATGATCCATCCCAATTTGAACTATGGCATAACAGGTCGGAGGCGGTTTGCTCAGCGTACCCTCGTTCCGCAGAGACTTCGGGTTCTTTGATGAAAGCTCGTCCCAATACATTCTCGCGGCGCGATGGCAAAGTGCCTTCAACAGCGTCAGCTCTGTGGGCGGCATCTTTGGTGGTCTGTCACTAGGATACGTCTCGGATAAGCTTGGGTAAGTCTCGCAGCGATATCCTAGAATGTACGGAAGCTGATGATGTGTAGACGACGAGGCGCTGTGGCCGTCTGCTGCGTGGTCTCCATCGTGGGCATTCTGATTCAATTCTTCACGTATCCGCACAAGAACGCCCAGCTGCTTGTGGGGAAGCTTGTCAATGGCTATGCTCTCGGTGCGTCTTTTCCGTAAAAGCGCTGGGTCCGCTCTGACTTGCGCTGGCCTCGACCGTGTCAGGCATGTACGTATCCGGTGCCAGCTCTTACTGCTCTGAGGTATCTCCCCTGGCGTTGCGAGGTATCACGACGTCGTCCGTGAATCTGTGGATCGACCGTACGTCGGATACTTTCGCACGCTCAATCGACCTTGGCTGATGAGACATCATCCTAGTCGGACAGCTGTGAGTTTCTGGCCAGCGCACTACTCATGCCCGTCCCCATGATTTCAGCTGAGCCCGTGTCGTATCTTTCTAGCATGTCGAATGGCGTCATCGAAGGTACCGGAGAATGGTCATCTGCATACGCATATAGGCTGCCCTTGTGTGTGACTTCGCTCTTTTTGTTATCTTGGTAGATCGTGGCTAATTTCGCGAACCTTCGCTGTGTGTTCATCGTCAACCAGCGCACTCCAGTGGATCTTCCCCGTTCTGCTGCTCATCGGGCTCCCGTTCGCACCTGAGTCGCCGTGGTGGCTTGTGCGCAAGGGACGGAAGGAAGAGGCACACAAGATCCTCACGAGGCTCTCTGGCGGCGCGACGGACGTAGACCTGCAGTTGCAGCAGATCCAGGAGACGATCGTTCTCGAGGACTCGTATGCAGCCAATTCGACATACGCGGATTGCTTCCGAGGTGAGCGATACTCTCTACAGCAACACCAGCAGAGTGGAACGAGAGGTGGGTCATGGCTGAGACGTCTGGTTTTAGGTGTGAACTTGACAAGGACGATCATCGCATGCATGGTCTTCGTGCTCCAGCAAGCGGCAGGTTGGCTTTGCTTTACACATTTGAAAGGTCTGCGGATTTAACATATCCTGATACAGGTGTGGTCTTCGTCCTCGGCTACAGCACGTACTTCTTCGAGCTGGCTGGCTTCCCCGACGGTAATGCCTTCCGCTTGGGCGTCGGAGTTACAGGCATCGGTGTAGGTGCCCCGGCATCTAAACTCTACGCGGATCGATTCACCAATTGACACGTGCAGGTTGCTGGGAATCTCTTGACGTTCTACACCGTCAACCGATACGGGCGTCGGTTCATCTTCAACTGGACGATGTTGGGATGCACGATCGTGCTTCTCCTCATCGGCTTCCTAGCAATTCCGACGCATAACCAGAACGCGAAATGGGCGATGGCTGCGTTTGTGAGTGGTTGACTTTAGATATTTACTAGGCTGGAGCTAACCCGGCTCTCGTAGACCTTGATATACAACTTCATATATCAGACCGGAATGTGAGGATAAGCATATGCGGAGAGGCACATGATGCTGACATCTCGTGTCTTTCCAGCGGTCCTCTTGGATACGTCATTTTCGCCGAGGTATCTTCCGCCAAGTTGCGATCCAAGACGGTCGGCATCGGTATCCTAGTCAACTCGCTTTGTGGCATGGTTATGAACATCGTCATCCCATACTTGTGCGTACCACGCCTTTCTCTGATTGACCGAGCTTGATGGCTTGCCAGGGTGACACCGGACGAGGCGAACCTCGGCGGGAAGGTGGGCTTCATCTTCGGCGGCCTTGCCGCGATTGGGACGGTCTGGGCGTACTTCTACATCCCCGAGACGAAGAACCGTACAGTGGACGAGTAAGTGGCGCTTCACGTGAAGATCTCGCATGCGCAGTGCTGATGTGGTCTTCTATGAAAGGCTGGACACGATGTTCGAGCGGCGTGTCCCGCCGCGCAAGTTCGGAACGTACAACGGGGAGGAGGAGGACTTACCGCAGGAGATCTCCGAAAAGTGATGGAGAGGGTCTCAGAGGACCAGGACAATGGCGGTGGGCAACTGGGTTCGGCTGGTTTGTGTGCATTGATTTGCAGATGGCGTTGACGAACGTTATGACCTGCGATGGATGACCTTCGATGACTTGATGACTGAGGTATACTGGGTACTGTACTGTAGGCATTGATTTAGGTCTCCTGGGGTAGTTGTCTAGCATTGTATAATCGACCCTCCTTAGGGAGCGTTGTTCAAAGCATGGCCTTCGTTCAAATGATGCCATGGTCAATCTGCAATTCTTGAAACGTGAGGCTCATTAGTATGTTCCAAGACCCATAGAAATGGTCCAGACGGCGAAAGAGATGCCGATAAAACACATCTTCATGTGCCACTCATTTTGACGATAGTTGTTAGGATAGGGAGGACGCGAGTATCCGACAGGTCGCTCGCCAACACAGGTATACGCACAATGATATCACCATCCAGCAGTCCAGAATCAGGTCCTCGGTGCCGACATGCATTCCATTCTCCTCATCGCGTGCTGCCGCTGGACGGTGAACGTTGCACATGAGTCATGCATCTGTCAAGAACGGTGCGGAAAACGAGCGAGTTTAGATTGGTCCGAACGTCAGCGAGTCAGGATGTGACCGCTACGTGTGAAGATGGTCTTGAATTTGCGTTGTCGCAGCCGACCTTGCGAATTGATTGGGCCAGCATTCCGCAGCAATCCGTTGTCAAGATGCCTTAGCAACAATGTGACTCGGTAGGGCGCCATCACTGCCAGCGCAATGCGAACCGGATCCACAAGGTGGGTGGAGACTTACGACATGATGACAGTGACTATCTTCAACTGCGCATGGATGGAATGCAGTAGAAGGTATGAGTATTGCAAGAAGCATCTCGTCCTGCCTCGCTTCCTCGTTTGATGCGAAAGCTGAGGATGCAAATGAGTTTGGTGCTTCCGGAGACGCTGCCTGAAGCGCATTCAATTGCGCTCGCCCAGAAGACGCTCCTTCACGAATGTATGCGAACGTCGACCAGCGTGGACCCGGGTGTGAACAGTCTGCGCTCGCCAAACTGAAGCAGAGTCATTTTGTAAGGTCGGACACAAGTGTGGGTCGCCGATCGCGACGGCATGCGGGCAGCCGGGCCACAGCACGGGCCGCACGGGGACGCCTCGGCAAGATCATGCCGAAATCATTAGACTGGGTAAAGATAGCAATTTCTCGCCACCATTGGGCTTGGCACTGGGAAAGAAATCCACCACTTCCTCGCCTTCGCTCACTCACATTTTCGTATAAATGTTCAAGGTAGCTCAGTGACACGTCTGGAAAAATACGGCTTTTTGAGCTTTTCGTGCGTAGAGTGCTGTCCAGTCAAATTTTGTATGAAATACTCAAATTGCGAGTACAGCACTCTGAATGGCGTGTATACTACTGGAGATAGCCTCGACCGCAATCAGTAGTTGCAGTACCTGCATGTGTCAGCCGCCATGCCTCATGAGATATGCGAAAGGTATATATTCCACAGCTCCTCCTGCATTTCACTGCGCTCCTCTCCACCTCGCGTGTCGGAAGACGTCCGTCGCTGTAAGCACCCCCGCCCGTGTGATTAACGGCAAGTTGAATCGGCAACTATGGCACCGCAAGAGTCAGAGCAGAGACGCAGCAAGTTGGCGTCGGATTCGGAAGTTTTCTCGGTGGTTACAGCAAATGACGCCGACAAGGACAAGGACGTCGATCTCGAAAAGAACACGACTGAGGTGTTCGAAGAGGAGTGTGTGCGGCCGCAACAGTCAGCACAGCAGCAATCACGCAAGCTCGAATTTGACACAGGAAAAGAGCGCCTCAAGTTCCGCCGCAGGTGGTGGCAGCTATGGTACAAAGCATAGCATTTTGAAATCGCAATCTTTCTGACAAGATGTCTGGTTAGGCTCCCGAAGAACCCGCCTCCGCCTGCCCCCAAGTCTCTTGACGATGCCTCTATGAGCTTAACTCGCATAGAGTCCTGTGAACAAGGGCACGATGACGCTAATGCATCCGCCATTAGGTCATCCCGATGGTCTTTGCTTCCATCTGGTCCATCTTGACTTACACTTGGATCAACCCGATCATGGTGAGTTCCGGACGTTCATCAGAACATGGTTTAGCGGGAATCTCAGAGGGGAATGACCCCGGGAAGCATGGACCCTTGACGGTGGCCACTAATTCAAAAAGAGCAAGTTTTGAAATATCCTCAGTCATCACTCGCTAAGATGCCGCTGGTTGCGTTACCGACTCTGACTTTACCAGCACCTGCCATTCACCAGTGGAAAGTGTAGTAGAGGCTACTAGCGCATATAATCGAACACTTGGGGGGCTCGAGATACGCCATGCAAGTTCACTTGTTAGGCGAGAGCTCATATGTTTTCGTTTCCCTTTTTCTGTTTTGACATCACCGCTTGCACGAGTCCGACGCAACTCTGACCCGGCATCCCACAGACACTCGGCTACCAACGCACCTTGCAAGCAACTGACCTCTGGAAGCTGGACGAGTCGCGCGAGGCGGGCGTGCTCGGCGCGAAGTTCGACGCCGCCTGGGCACGCCGCATTCAGGCCGCAGACGAGTGGAACGCCCGCCTCGCGAGTGGAGAGGCGCAGCCTGGGTGGCGACTTCGCATGCGATGGTGGCTGCGCGCTTGTGGGAGCCGCGAGCGCGGGAAAGAATTTGAACGGCGGTGGAGGAAGGGCGAGGGTAAGCGGGAGGCGAGCATCGCGTGGGCCCTCAATGATGTGTTTGGGTGGCGATTTTGGACCGGTGGCGTGTTCAAGGTGGGAAAATGTTCCGTCAACAGCGTAAATTAGATCTGGCTTACTCGTCTCCTAAGGTCATCGGTGACACCTCGCAGCTCATGGGGCCGCTGCTTGTCAGGGTACGTTTTGAGACAATCAACAAACTACCCGTTCACTTCGGTGGTTATTCTTACCAACCTCATTCTATAGGCAATAATCAACTTTGCTAGAGAGCGCGTCGCGGCGCAGGCTGCGGGGGAGGCCCCACCGCGCATTGGGCGTGGCGTCGGCATGGCCATTGGCCTCTTTTGTACGACTGTCACAGCAAGCGTGTGCACGCACCAGGTAAGACGCCCATGCTTTAGCGATATGTGCCGACGTTCATGTGCATACGTGCAGTTCTTCTGGCGCTCGATGACGTCGGGCCTGCTCGTGCGCGCGGCGCTGATCAGTTCGATCTACAAGCGGGGCGTTGCACTGACGGGCAAGGCACGCACGAAGATTCCGAACGCAAAGTTGGTGACGCATATATCGACTGATGTAAGTGCTGAGCATGGGGAAAACCCCGCTAAGGAGCTTTCTGACTTGTATTGCTGTAGGTCAGTCGGGTTGATGCCTGTGCTCAGTGGTTCGTGAGTGGTTTTCGTGTCCACCCTTGTTTGACCGCTAAGCTCTGAGTGAAAAACAAAAATCATAGCACGCAAGTAAGCGGTCTATATGCGCGTCCAGTTTGTTTATTCATGACTAACAATCCAAAAATCAGCATGGACGGCTCCGATTCAAGTGACAATCTGCCTCATCATCCTGCTCGTAGAGCTCGGGCCATCTGCACTTGCAGGCTTCTCTCTTTTCCTCTTGATCATCCCCATCCAGGAGCGCGCCATGTCCTTCCAGTTCTCCACGGGCAAGCGCACGCTACGCTGGACGGACATGCGGAGCAAGCTGATTCTGGAGGTCCTTGGTAAGTGAACCGCTGCCCTTGAGGTTACAAGTATGGAGACAAATGTGAATTCAGGCGCAATGCGTGTGGTGAAATACTTCTCGTATGAGGAGCCGTTCCTTAAGCGTGAGTGGCCACTAGTCTCCGGGAGAGCATACTTTGGGGGCTTAAATTTCTGGCAGGCCTGTCCGATATCCGAGATAACGAGCTCAAGGGCATCAAGAAAGTGCAGCTCGCACGATCGGCAAAGTGGGTTTATAGACATTCGAGGTTGGCTGGTTTGACTGAAGCGTATCTAGCATTGCGTCCGCCTTCTCAGTCCCGACGCTGGCGGCCACGCTGTCATTCGTTGCCTACACCTCCACGAATAATTCATTCAACGTCGCCACGATATTCTCGTCTCTGTCTCTTTTCCAGGTAAGTGTTGTCGCGTTCATCAAGCTGTACATTCTTTCCTCTACTGATTGCATCAGCTCCTCCGCCAACCGCTCATGTTTCTCCCGCGCGCCCTCTCCGCGACCACAGACGCGCAGAACGCGCTCGAGCGCCTGAAGGGTCTCCTTCACGCGGAGCTTGCAGATGGCGAAGCGTTCACCATCGACCCCGCGCAAGACGTGGCGCTCATTGTGGAGGATGCGACGTTCGAGTGGGAGGAAAGCCCATCCGCAAAGGAGGCGCAGGAGAAGGGGAAGGGGAAGGCGGCAGCAAAAGCGGCCGAGATCGAAGGCGAGAATGAGGGGGCGGCCGCGCCGTTCCAGGTGCAGGATATTACTATGAAGGTGCCGAGAGGCACGCTCGCCGCTGTCGTGGGATCTGTTGGCAGGTGAGCGAATATATGCACATTAGTATTCGCGAACTAATGCTGATGTTTTTATACTCATAGTGGCAAGGTTGGTGCTTCGACTATAATGAGATCCATAGCTGATACATCCTGCAGTCGAGTCTGCTGCAAGGTCTCATCGGCGACATGCGTAAGGTGAAAGGCCACATCTCCTTTGGAGGAAAGGTTGCCTACTGCTCGCAGACGGCATGGATACAGAATGCAACCTTGGTAGGCCTCAGACATACTATGATGCCGTGCCAAATATATTCAATTGCTACCCGCAGAGAGAGAACATCCTTTTCGGTCAGCCGTTCGATGAGGACAAGGTGAGTAATGCTATTTACGCCAGGATGAAAGTCGGCTCATTTCATGCAGTACTGGAAAGCGATCGAGAATGCCTCCCTTCTTACTGACCTTGAGGTGCTGCCTGATGGCGATCTCACCGAGGTGAGCTAGATATCACGCACAGTTTATGTGAAAGCTTCTCTCACGCATGACCAGATCGGAGAGAAGGGCATCAACCTGAGTGGTGGGCAGAAACAGAGGGTAGGTTTACATCATTCAGTCTGCATTCTACTCGGCGATTTACGGTCATGCAATAGGTCAATATTGCACGGGCGTTGTACTACGATGCTGACGTTGTCATCTTTGATGACCCGCTATCTGCAGGTGAGCCATGGTATGCCACACGTAATTCCGATGAAACCGCTGATCTCTAGTCATCTAGTCGATGCGCACGTAGGGAAGGCGTTGTTTGCTGATGCTATCCTTGGAGCATTGCGTGGACACGGGAAGACGGTTATCCTTGTCACCCATGCCTTGCATTTCCTATCTCAGTGTGACCACATCTACACAATCCAGGTACGATATCCTGACCATGTGAGTCTTGCTGATGACAAACTCATCATGATAGAATGGACGTATCGAGGAGCAAGGGACATTCTCCGAGCTGATCAATAACGAACGTGAATTCTCTCGCCTGATCAAGGAATTTGGGGGTACGACTTCCCAGGAAGAAGGAGCTGATGCTGAGGAAGAGGCGATCGAGGTACAAACAGCGCCCACAACGAAAGCCGTCGACGAGGCCAAGATCAAGTCTGACGCCATCAAGCGCTCAGCCGCTGGTACGGGAAAGCTGGAGGGCAGATTGATAGTTCCGGAGAAGAGGACAACGGGGTCTGTCAGCTGGAGAGGTACGGTCTACTTCAGTCTCCCATGGATGACAACAAAAGAGTCTTACAATCTATCTCAGTGTACGGAGAGTATCTCAAAGCGGGAAAGGGATATGTGACGTTCCCCATTCTCCTGCTATGTGTTCTCCTCATGCAGGGTAGCACCATCATGAACACTTACACGCTGATTTGGTGGGAAGAAGAGTACGTAATCTGGCGATTGCATAAGATGCAGAACGCTGAAGCTTTCTCCCAGTGAATGGGGTCGTCCCAATTCTTTCTTCCAGATCTTGTATGCATGCCTAGGTATAGGCCAGGCTGTCTTCACATTCACAGTGTAAGTCGTGTCTATGGAATCCCATTCTTCATGAGACTCATAAAATTCTTTGCGATTGCAGAGGTGCTACCATGGATATCATGGGATCATTCGTTTCCCGCAATCTGCACCATTCAGCAATCCGCAGTATATTCTATGCTCCGATGTCCTACTTCGACACCACAGTGAGTCATCATGTGAAAGAATGTCGTGCTTCTGTTCAAAACTTCTATAAGCCTACTGGTCGTATTCTCGGCATCTTCGGCAAGGACATTGAAAGTAAGATTCGTCGTGTCAGTCCCGCTCTTCCGTATTGATTATCTCTGCAAGACATCGACAACCAGCTTCCTGGTGAGTCGAACATTTTGATCGATATGGCGCGCAGCTGGCTGATACAAGCTTAACCAGTTTCCATGCGCCTCTGTGAGCGCAACATATTGTACCGCATATATGCGCGTTCTGATCGGGATTCTCAGTCGTTCTGACCATCGCTAACGTTGTCGGGAGCGTGATCATCATTACAGTATTGGAATACTACTTTAGTGAGTGAAGATAGACACGTCAACCCGTGTGCGATTCTGATCAAACAACTTAGTCATTGCGATTGCTATCATTGCTTTTGGGTACAACTACCTCTCGAAATTCTACCGTTCCAGTTCAACAGAATTGAAGCGGATAGGTTCGTTTGGCTGTCCACAGTATATGGGAATCTCTCAATGCTTCTGCCCACAGATGCAATGCTTCGTTCCATCTTATACGCTCATTTTGCTGAATCGCTGTCTGGACTGCCTACGATACGCAGTTACGGTGAAACCAATCGCTTTCTCAGAGACAACGAGTATTACATCGATCTCGAGGACCGAGCGGCATTCTTGACAGTTACGAATCAGAGGTGAGCACGAGCTATGCGAACATATGTACTATGGAACGATCAGTGACTGATAATGCTGTTCAGATGGCTCGCCCTCCGGCTCGATACGCTCGGCGGAATCATGACGTTCACGGTAGGAGGTATTATTTCGACATGTCTTGCACAAGGCTAAAGAGTGTCGCATGTCAGGTCGCAATGCTCACGGTCACCGACGTAGCAGGGATTAGTCCGGCACAGATCGGCCTGGTATTAACCTATTCGAGTAAGTTGACTTCCGGGGCGGAGCAGAACATCTCTGCTTACGACTTCCAATCTAGCTTCCTTGGTTCAAATGTGCAATGTCGTCACCCGGCAGGTCAGTAGGCCGAATGATTATCGCAAGCTTGTGGAAACTCACGTCTTTCTTGCGTTAGTCTGCTGAAGTTGAGGTAGGTCTTGCGAACTGTCAAATTTACTGGTTCACTGAGACATACGTTCCTTTAGAATTACATGAGCTCCATCGAGCGCGGTAAGTTCCGGGTATATTTGTGGTAGCAGGACTGTGTAATATTAATTTGAGCGCACCTCAGTCGTCCAATATAGCCAGCCTGGCCGGGTAGAGCAGGAGGCCCCGCATGAAATCGCCGATCGCAAACCTCCTGCAGAGTGGCCCGCTCGAGGTGCAATTGAGTTCAAGGATGTGACCATGAGGTATAGGCCAGGACTACCCTTGGTGCTTAAAGGGCTGTCCCTAAGTATTCGGGGAGGCGAAAAGATCGGCGTCGTTGGCAGGTACGCGTAGCATGCAGCCTGTTCTAAGTCATCACATACTCACAGTGTGCAACTTTCAGAACGGGCGCTGGGAAGTCCACGTTAATGCTCGCTTTGTTCCGCATAGTGGATTTGGCTTCCGGCTCGATAACGGTTGATGAGTAGGTTTCAGTGGAAGCATTTCAGAGTTTAGCATTCACGCTGTCCCATAGCATCGACATCTCCACGATTGGCTTGAGAGATCTTCGGTCCAAGATATCCATTATCCCGCAGGATGTACGTATTGATTCGTTCAGCTTTGAGTCGTCCTTTGGCTAACAGTACTACTTTAATAGCCATTGTTATTTAGTGGTAAGGTTATCATGTTGGTTTCTACAATAGCCGAAATCCCTCATTTCTGTCACAGGGACAATACGATCGAATTTGGATCCATTCGACCAATACGTAAATAGCCAACGCATCATTCTCCTCTCCCTGTGCTGACATATCTTGTCGCACAGCCCGATCATCGCCTATGGGATGCGCTCCGTCGATCCTTCCTCGTGGATTCTACAAGCAATGACGAACAATCACCTCAAGATGGCAACCAAGCACCCACAAACAGGTTTAATCTTGACACGGTGATTGAGTCAGAAGGAGCAAATTTGAGCGTGGGGGAGCGTAGTCTGCTGAGCCTTGCTAGGGCTTTGGTGAAGGATAGCCAGGTTGTCGGTGAGTTGGCATGGCGTATGTGATTATGAGTGGCTCCTAATATCTCTCCAGTGCTTGATGAAGCAACGTACGTGCACGCAGGCTATGGGTATTGAGATAAAGCTGACTGTAGATTAGAGCTTCTGTCGATCTGGAGACGGATTCCAAGATACAACATACCATTCAGACCCAATTCAGTCAGAAGACCTTGCTCTGTATAGCGCGTGAGCCATATGTTGTCCTGCTTTTAAAGCGCGCTCTTTTGACAATTTACAGATCGTCTCCGTACCATCATCTCGTATGACAGGATCCTTGTCCTCGACTCGGGAAAAATAGCTGTACGTAATCTACTCTTATTGGTCATTTCATCTCCCTCACATTTCACGGACGCGAAGGAGTTCGACGCGCCGCTTAACTTGTTCTACATGCAAGATGGTATCTTCCGCGGCATGTGTGAACGCAGTGGCATCACAGCGGCTGAAATTGAGAAGGCCTCTGTCCGAGCGTCAGTTATATAGAAGCAATTCGGATCTTCTCATACGGACAGGAATTTCATGGATGTGTTGCAGATCTAAACGTGTCACTAGACGAGTTTACAATTAGATGACATGTAACAGCGTTTTGACAATAGATCCGCTACGGTCGAAAAGCACGACGTTCTACAAGTACAGTACCGCATGGGCATCACCAAATTACCTGGAACAAGCGATACTAAGGCCGACTGTATGGAAGAGGGTTAAGAGGAATTTTTGGTACGTTATGCGGAACCGGTGAATCCAGCAACAGGTAGGTCGTAAGTCATATTGTTGGAACTATTGCTTGGAAGAGAACCCATCCAGTTGAAGCCTGCATGAGAATGTCAGTTGGATGATATCACCCATGATCAACACATAATCGCACCAGGCAATACCATGTCCGGCCAGTCAGAGATTGACTGCATAGATTGAATCAATTCCGCATCATAGAATAGCGGTGGAGAGAAGAAGCCCGGTGCTTCCAGGTTGGACTGCATCTGGAGCTGAGGAGAGCCAGATACCGTCGCTGGTGGGGAATGGTTGAGGTGATCGAACGGTGCGTGGGTGACGGTAGGAGGTGGAGTATGCGGAGTGAATGCTTTGGGACTGCTGGTGTTCGATACGGGAGGTGGCGGGGACAGCGATTGCCTGGCGGATGAAGTGCCAGATGAAGCTGATGAATGCTTTGTTGATCGTCGGGAAACACCGTCACGCCTCAACGATGCCGGAGAATGATCAATCCTAGCTATAGGCGTAGAGAGCAGGCCATGCAGGAAGCGCGCATACAACTTGGGTCCATGCCGATCGTCGATGGCTACCTTGGGCGAGCCCAGCAGGTCGATGACCCGTTGAACGAGATTGCGAATCTCAATCCGTTTGTCACGCGAGAGATAATTTGTGTATTTCGGTTGCAATAGCTACAACCGTCTCGTTAGATTGGGTGAACATTGGAGTGGAGCGCTAACAGTAACAGACCTTGACCAAAAACGCGGATGCGAATGTCACGAATACGCTTTGAGCCTCAGGTCCATGACGCAGATAGATCTCTGCATATGCATTAGTACGACTGAGTCACATTTACGGATGACGCGCTTACTATGCTCGGGGATGGCAATCTCGTCAACGACAGCCTTCACGGTATCCTCTGCCGCGCGTAGGCACTGTACGATTGCATTCAGCAGAGGCAAAGCCGCCAGCACGGCGACACTTACCCGCCACAAGAAGGGCACCTCGTCAGTGGGAGCCGCCTTACCAAAGCTATGTTGAAACCCAACGGACAGCACAGAGAGCCTCGCATAGCTGAATGCCAACTTCAGCAAGCCTGTCCGGAAAGGCGCCTGAGGATCATCCGCATTTGTCGCATATACACGGGGTCTCCATGTCTCCCAGAGGTGAGCGAGCCGGTCGTCCGTGTTGATTGCTTCTTTTGCTAGGTCAACCTCCTGTAAATGCCATCGGATGTCAATCGCTAGTAACACTGTACACCGCACGCTCTTCACCTTATTCAAGCCTGTTGGATGGTTGGGGTTGCTGTAGATCCGCGCCCGGAACGCACCCAGGATCTTCAACTCCGCGTTGTAGCAGCATGTATGCACATCGAACCCAGGCAGGTTGTACGGTGAACACTTCCACCAATCCTCAGTGTGGTTCGCCACGTAATCCGCGTTATTGATAATGGGACGTTGTCCGTACTGCGAGCCGGTGGACCTATCAAGGTTGAAGCAGTTGAGCCAAACACGGGTGCGATTCAGCATCTCGCGTGCATGCATCTCGTTTTCGGCCTTGGGCGTGTTAATTGCGTAGTGCAACTTGAGATCTGTCGCAACCCTGATGGGCAAATGAAGCAACATCAGCAACTGTGGAAGACGTCGAGGCTTGCCGAGATGGCCGCACCGAATAGCCAAGCCTAGATAGATAAAGCTTCTATCCTCTTCCCATCTACGGGCGGGCACAGGGTACAAGCTGAGCAAGATGTATGCTTGGACAACCTCGATGGTCTTCTGGCCACCGATCAGTGCCGTGCCGGCAGCAAGCCGAGCATATTTCATGGCTTGTTGATACAGCTCAGGCCTTGGAGCATAGTGTCTCGATGCAATGGCACAAACTGAGATTACACAGCCAAAGCGTGAGGTAGCTCACAGAGATAGAAAAGAAAATTATACGCACTAACTGTGAACAAGAGCGGCGAACGCCAATACGTCTTCTGCGCAGTATATAGGACTGGATCCAGCAATGATAAAGATAAATTCATGTAATCATAATAGCTGCGAGAAATCGGTACCGTCAAGGTACAGCACTGGACAGAAGCCAACATGCAACACTTACATCTTGAAGAGCTGCTCAGCCTCAGCAGGCTTGATAATACCATTCTTGAGAATGGCCGGCTGCCGCAGCTCATCCACGATCGGACGCTCTGGAGCAGGACCTATGCAAGATCCTCGTCAGCATCACACACATTCGACTCGAAGTCGATAACGCACTTGGCCTGAAGTAGTCATCGTTCGCCAATCCCACATCCACATCCTCCTCGCTGTTTTCGCTTCTGGTCCGGCCCGCCCTCCACCGCTTGGACTTGGTCAGCGACAAGTTTGCCATCAAGCCAAACGCAGCAGCCTCGCTCGGGAGCGTGGCCAGCTTCTGCATGACGCTGCCCCCAACACGGGTCCCGTTCAAAGCGGACGCGCCTTCCGTCGATTCGCGCGAGAACATGCCAGAAACGCGCTCCCGCCCCGCTCCAGCTGAGTCTTCCTCACCAAAGAGACTGTCCCCATCGCCCCCATCCGCCTCGCACGACTCGTCGCCTTCGTCGTCATCAACTTCCTCGATATTCAGTTGATAGTCCGCATCACTTTCCTCGTCACCCTCATTCCCCTCGTCGCCAAGCATATCCGTCGTCACACTTGGCCCGCCCATCTTGATGTATCCGCCAAATGCGTCGATGCTCTGCCGCGCCTTCGCGATCCAGTCCTCCACATCGACGTCCATGCTTAACGTCGGCGGCGGCGCGGTCTCGCCGATGTCGCTCGGCATGAGAGTCGTCGAGTCGCCACGATTGCGCGAACTTGAGAGGGGTGTCGTCCCACCAGACATACCCTTGTTTGCGCGGCGGTTCGCGTCCTCGAGCTGGCGCATCAGCTCTGCGATCTGAGCCGTCTGATCGCGGATCTGGTTGAGGAGGTGCTCGCGCTTCCTACATGCCATCATATGAATGCATTCGTACGTAGGTGCAGAAAATCGTGAGTCAGATCTCTTCATTGGTGTCTATAAATAGATGAGACACTCACGGTGGTGGCCTGCGTTTCTTCCTGTTCGGGATTACACAATTGTACCCGCCTTTCGCACAGCGCTGGCATCGATCCACATCACCGATGAACTCGCACTTGACCTATCAAAAGCGCATATAACCACATCAGCACCGATGTCGATCTCCGATGATCGGCACCAGGGACAGCATTAGCTCACCTTCAGCCCTTTGCACCTCCCGCAGGCACCGCCTCTGCGATCAGTCACGACGATCAGCAATTTTCACTATCGCATCAAAGGGCCGACTCACGGCTTTGGCCTGTCGACCTGCTCGTCGCCTCGCCCATCTGGCTGTCCATCGTCGCACAATCCGTCACCCTCTAGGTCGAAACCCTCACCGTCGTGGCCGTCATCGTCATCTGGGCGCAACCTCTTGAACGCGCCATGTCCCAAAATTTGACTATATGCGTGATCCGGGTACGCGGAGGCTGCAGGAGAACCCTGCAGAGACGTGATCGGGACGCCTGGGGAGGTCAATGGCGTGTACAGCTGCTGAGGCGCGTTGATCTGCTGCTGGAAGCCGCCGATGGTGGGCGAGACGCGCGGACTGGGGTGCTGGCTGCCGCTGCCGGCCTGCGCCTGCGGATGTGAATGCGAATGCGCGCCAAACTGAAACGCCTGATTCTGCACACTTTCGCCGAGGAACTGTTGGGGCGACGATGAGGACGAGGGTTGCAGCGACGAGTTCCTGCTGTGGTAAAAGTGGGATGGCGTCGTGAACGGTTCCTGTGGGCTTCTCTGCAGCTGGCTCGAGCCGTTCGCTACTGGATATGTGACGCCACCATTAATCGGCATATGCGCGCTCTGCGACGCAATATGTTGGGGAGTTCTGGAGAATCCCAGCTGGCCTCCTCCCATAGTCTGCGTGGAATGAACATACGTCGGGAAGCCTGCATCGTAAGAGGATAATCGCGGGATAGCCTGCCGTCCGGCGGTATCAATATGAATGTCGAAGCGCTGGCCTATGATGTCCGGCTGGAGCACCTGGAACTGAGCGGGATCTATCTCATATTCTCTCTCGAGCTGGAGCTGGGGGGCTTGCAGGTGAGGCGGAGTCATGCGAGGTTGAGACCAGGAGAGATCCATCGCGCGAGATGTGGGATCGGACGAGGAAATGATAGCGCCCGGGTTGAGTTATATCGTCTTCTAGCGTCCGGGCGCTCGGAGAAGCCTGAGAGAGTAATGGAAAAGAGCAACAAGGGCGTGCCTCGTGGGGTGGAGGATCAAGCACAGGTTATCCCTCCAGAAGCAGTGGGAAGCATCGCCCAGGGAGAATGCCGGACGAACCCAAACTCTGTATTTATGAAAGAATTGCGCACCGCCGCACAGAATCGCTAAGTCCGAATGAGGAGCAGTGCCCGAAGCCGCAGTGATTGGCAGGCCGTCCTTGCGGTAGCGAAGCCTTTCCAGATGCGGTAAGAACGAGTTGCTGTGCAATGTGGGTGAAACGCAGGCAATCTCTGCTGGGAGTGACGGGCGATGCAAAGGCACGAGAAGAGGCCCAGACAGTTTTTTTGAGTGCATGCACGGGTGTCCAATTGCATCCTTGTTTCGACTGAGTATCGCTTAGAACGCCATCTGCAAAGCATGATTTGAGACATTTGTGAGAATTGTGGTGGACGTCGAGTGGCAGGATCAAGCATGCGCCACATGTCGCCGCCCGCGATGACCGTGGGACACTCGCCACCGACGCGCATCGCGAGCAACGAGCTCAATTTCCGACTACCGCCTTTCGACTGCTCTCAATTCGTTTGATCCTGGTCCTATATCAACATCGTAAACATCGCGTTCCGATGTTAGCAACCATTTTTGGGCGGCTTCTCCAGGTCATTTGCATGATGCGCTTGGATCGTGATCGAGGCAGAATTCAATAAGATGTGCCATGACGGATTCACGCATACATCCGTATGTACTATATTCCCCAATCAAAGCAGCAGCGGACTTATAAACAATGACCCGCCGTCTCTGCTTCGCTTCTCCTGCCTCACCTGCCAGATGTACAACCCCACCCTACAGTATTCAATATTCAATGTCAGCACCCATCGGTGCAGTGCGGTCTCGACTACCCTTCACACTACCGCATACCCACTCGTAACCACCGCCTGTATATGCAACGGCACCGGAATCCGCCTAAATCGTCCAATTGTCCGGAGACGTGTCCGATGTGGGCAACATTCATCTTGCAAATTGATGCGGACTTTTGACGGCTCTAAGGGCGCGCGGCATAAGGTTCACGATCTCATCATTGACGTGCGAAACATGCTGCGCTGCTCACGGATTGCAAAGGAAAGTTCATTAATGCACCATACGGAATCTACGTCACCCGACGGCCGAAGGCCTAACTCTCGGTTATTTCCGATATTCTTGTACCTAAGGGTGGGTGGAACAGTCACCGGCGGACGTTCAATGCGACATGTTTGACACGAAGTACTAGTATCAGATAATGCGTCGCAGAAGCAAGACGTATACTTGAGCGCTTGAGCACTGTGCTCTCGAGGTGATTATCACAGCCCAGGCCATTCTGATCAACGTCCTTGTCCCTTATTCGAGCGAATTCCACACTTCAGTTTCCTGCTGCCCATCACCATGATGCAAAATGTGCCATCCCGAAGCGCCAGGCTGCGATGTAGTCACAAGCTGTGACTTGTGTATCGTATGCAGCCTCTCGCATAGACATCAATTTTCCCACAAGGTCCCGCGATCATTCTGCCCCGGACACGACAAGTTGGGTGCCTGACTCTGGCAACACGCGCGGAAGAATTTGCATTGAGCACTAGCTTGAGCGCCCGCAAAGTCTCCTCGCGACGCGGGCGCAGACGGAGTGCAAAGGACAGACTAGGTTGGCGACAAACGCGTGAATCGTCGCCGGCGTTCTTGGCTGGCGGACTACCTTTTCGGCGGCTCATCGGCACATTTGAGTGGTTCTCTCACTCCTGCAAGTGTTGCACCGGCTTCTGACGGCTCGGCACATGAGGCGTGATCCATTGACGTCGATGATCCCTTCACAGGATCCTTTAACCATGTGCAGTATAACGAAAGCTTGTCCGACGTATGTTTCGCGTACTCGCGATCCATGAAGTAGTGTTCGGGCGCGAAGCCGACGCTGTGGAACTCCAGAAGCAACAGGAAGGAGGAATTTTCTGGCTTCAAACTCTACGAATGCGCGAGGATTCCCTTGTTGCTATGAGGCCGGCAAGCAAAAAATCATGCGCTGGTTTGATATGTCTGTCCTATGTTCGTTATGAGCCGATGTTTTCCCTGAGGTCGATGAATGCCGTCCGACGCGCGGAACGCTCGACATCGGCCGTATTTATGACCCATCCGCAACGTCCAGGCGATTGGCTCGCCATGGTTCTAGTGCAGAAGCCGTGTCAAAGTATGCAGAAGAAGCGAGGGAAATTATGTTGACTGAACGCCGAAAACCCAATTCAATCATCAGATCAATTGACGCGGAGAAGGTGGTTCTGTTCGATTGTTTTTGTCCTGCTGGGAGCCAGAAGCTATCCTTGTGCTTGCGCTTTGTCATATCCATATCATCAGCCGAGGTTGTGGCCAATTGATCAATGCATGGATTCCATGCATCCCCTCGCCGAAATGTTCGGCATTTTCTACTAGGTTGCCAATTGCGGAAACGCGAGGAACCATCTCAGTCGAGCTATGTAGGGAAACAGATCAACGCAACGCAATTGACGTAATACAGTGATGTTTAGATGAAGACGCACATGTTTTATATAGCCGCAAATCATATATCAACGGAACAAGGTAGAGCCTCCTCAATCCGGGGTTGCAGCGTTCCTACTTGCGGAAATGCGTCTGCTCTTTGACAGCACGCTGAACATGCTGGCGAGCTCGGCCCAACGAAATTGGTATTGCACTGTTCGTTTCAATCCAGTTCACGTTGACAGCTTCCATACATACTGGGAAATGCGCGCAGCGATGCCGACGGGCTGGCATAGCCTAGCCGACGAGGGTCCCAGAAGCAAGTCATAGTACCGTTCAAAGAGAAACTTGAATACCGGGCGGCCGAGATCCGATGTACCGACGAACAGGCCGCGAATCGTAAGAGTTCATTGATTCCAGCCTCCTTGCGACGGATTCTGACGCGCACCTGTCTTGACCTCTCGATTGCTAAATAGATATCTGCTGGCACGTCTAGACAGGTCGGCTAGGGCGGGTCGCGAGAGTATTCATCTCATTACCAGCTGCGTTGCCATGCGATGGCAGTCACGGAAGAAGGCTTCGACTCTCGAAGGCACTTGTACGATCTGTTCCGTCGCGTGCCGCATGAATCGCTTGCAAATCGCTTCCGGTTTGGCTCAGCAATGGACAGCTACCAGCGGATAAAAGGTGATGACTCACGACAATCTGGACTATGGTGCGATAACGTTCGTACACGACGGTGCAACGCGCCACCAAAGCGATTCTGATGCTCTCCAACAAGTGGAAGATGCGCATCCTGTTTAGCAAGGCTGTCGCATGTATGCTGCTGAGTTATTCATGGAGATGACCCACCACTGACGGCACAAGGAATTTACACCATTCACAAAAAAATGCCACATATGAACGTGAGCTCCTGTTCGATCCTCAGAGATACGATATCTCCACTGGATCTCGGAGAAGGACATATAAATAAACGGATAGTTGTGCTCACAGTGCTATCGATGAGCTGGATGGCTCGGATAACGTTGAATCTTATGTCACAGTGCAGCTTTTGAGTAGGGAATGCTGATGACGAACATGGTGGTCGCGGCCAGATATGCCACCACGAGAACCACCAGAAGCAACGAGACGGATATTGGACTGCGAAGAGCAGCAGCAATGGGCCAGAAGGCCATTCCAGACTCGGTGAGAAGGGTATCAGCTGGGAGCATGTTGACGGAGGGTATCAGACGCGTGACCTAGCGCAAGATGTTCTGGATGCTGATGTTAAGACGACTGAGGACCTTCCGAGCTCAAGGAGCGGGACGTTATGAGGTAACCTGCTTTCTCACTTTGTGGACGTGATACGGTATCCAATCTGGAATTGGTAATTGAAAACAGAATTCAGTGAAAGAAGATAGGAAGACCGTCACAAAGGATGAATATTGAATGGCCAGTGCCTCCTCCATCGCGTGCAGGCGTCTGCGGTTGTTTGATTCGTCAAACGTTTTCCATTTCGGGTGCAACTCAAGTGTCGAGTGTTCACCAACAGGACTCATGTCTGGAGCGTAGGGTGCTACATGGGGAAATGTAGGAAGGCCTAAGCTCAGAGACGAGACAACGATTATTTCCATATAACAGAAAGTTAAGTGGCCAATGACACTGAGGAATTGCGCACGCTTACGTAACCTTGACACTGGCAAATTCGCTCCATTGGGTTTGGCGTGATTTTTCACTACATAACCCAGCGTGGATTGTGCTCTCCTTGGACATAGGAGATATGGATTCTCCCCTAGCCCCCCTACTGTCCTCATCTTCACTGTGTAACCACTTCAACGCTCTATGCTGCCTCATCTGATGTTCACACAAATCGCTGGGCTCGTTGTCGCGCTTTTGCTGTCATGTGCATTGCTAGGTGATTTTGTTGGTGGAGATGAGCATCGTTTCCTGCATCTCCTCTGACGGGTCATTGATGACGTTGCTGCAGTGGATCTGCTGTCATTGCTTTTCAATGCTTTCATTTTATTTTTCCCTGGTGCTATCACTAACGCTATCGATACTGTCGGTGCACGTTTGCACTGCTCAACTTTATTCATTTCAGCCGTCGGCGACGCTTCCTGTCGGTCAGTCTTTGTATCAGCTGAGGAGCTGGAGGCTCTTGCTGTTGTGTTAGAATCCCATTTGATGCTTGCTCTGCATTCTGGTGATTTGTATCAGTGCGAGGTCAAAAGGACCGATTTGACATCTGGTTGGGATGAACAAATTTGTTCTGTTGCTGTCGATATTCCGTTACCTTTTCTCATCGCCCGTCTTTCTTTTCGCGCACTTCAGGAGTTATCGCATGTACACAATGTCGTGTGTAGTACATGGAAAGCTCATCGATGTTCGTTGTCATGCTCCCCTACACTGCCTGTCTTCAACTTTCCTTGCGATGGGCTTTACCATGTTGGTGTGACTTCCACTGAATCGTCCATCTCTGGATGGCTGCTCAGAAGATTTCCTTCAGCTAGTTGCCGATGGAGCTGCCCATGACGCCAATGATACTTCTGCAATAACAGGATGCTTAAAGCTCACGTTCGATGACACTAGCACATGCTCACCAGAAGACGTCTCCATGTCATGGCATATGGATGATGCACAGTGTTGCGATGATTGTGCTGTCACGCTACAGGGGCCTGTTGTCTTCGCCGGCATGCAAGATCACATGGCGGTCTTTATATACCACAACGTAATTCAGATTAGCTAGCCATACACACATCCGCCTCTGATTGTCACTTACGTACAGCTCCATTCTATATAATTGAACATATGGTCTCCCACCTGTTATTTGAAACTGGCACTGATGTGCCAACTCTACTCAAGTTAATGAAAACATCATTGCCGTTGTGACAAAACACGATCAAAGATAAATCACGTGCCCTTGACTCACCGCAGACATGAAGCGATTTGCACACGTGGCAAATGCTTAGCAAATGTCAACAGGTTTTTTTGCCTTTGTGATCTCAATTTGCTATGGTTCCTTCTCACATTCCGTATTAAGTATTTGCATATAATATGTTAGAGGCAAAAATTTAAAATCATATATTTTAAGAAATGACACCATTTTCAAACTCACCAAATACATTTAGAATTTGAGTGCTGTTGAATGTAATCATACATTTTTGAATTCCAAATCATCACATGTATAAAATACCCAGTAGCAGACGAAGGTGTAATTATGCCTACATTCTACTTCCCTACTGAAGTCATTCTAACCAAGATTACTAGAATGAACGTCATTCGTAATTACACCTTCATCTGCTACTGGGTATTTTATACATGTAATGGTTTGAAATTCAAAAAAGTATGATTACATTCAACAGCACTCAAATTCTAAATGTATTTGGTGAGTTTGAAAATGGTGTCATTTCTTAAAATATATGATTTTAAATTTCTGCCTCCAACATATTATATGCAAATACTTAATACAGAATGTGGGAAGGAACCATAGCAAATTGAGATCACAAAGGCAAAAAACCTGTTGACATTTGCTAAGCATTTGTCACGTGTGCAAAAGGCTTCATGTCTGCGGGGACTGCTCAACTGTGAACGTTTGAATGAACAATCATTAACAATTTAACATCTCGCTTTGACATGTTCTCTTTTTCATCGTCTCATTTCGTGAGAACTCAGAGTACTTATCACTCATTCTGGAAAATAGGGTTTTCTTCAAATTTCAAATAACAGAATGGTATTTGGCTGTTACCACGCATGCAGGCTTTGACGCGTACATAAGAAATAGGAGGTTGTCTGATCACCCTTTCACGGCTAGCGTCCCTTTCGATTGCTGATGCGTCGCTTTCACTCGCACTCACCAGCACTCACCCTGTTTGCTTCGCTTTTGCTCCAACTTGCTCCTATGGCTATGTGTCGTGTTCTGTTAGCTGACGTTGCTTTTTCACCCTCTTTTCTCTCATGCAACCTGTCGCTGTCATGCATTCTTTTGAACATGCCACCTGCATTTGCGCTGACATGTGCTTTGCTTTTTGGTCTCATCTGTATGTTGTTTCCCTTGGCTGATCTTCAACATGTTTTCTGCACTGTTCAGATTGCCCATTGAGTCAGAGTTTACCCATGAACTGATGTTTTCGCTCGCGTGATCACCAGCGAACAGTATGTCTCTGTTCCTCGATGGAACGGGCATCTTCTTTACAATGTTATCTGTTGATGTGCTCTTTGTATTTGTCACCACCAGTGATGCTGACGTACTCATTTCGTCATGCATACTCCTTTTTTGCATCATCTGTCACCATGTCATTTATAAATTTCGCTCACTGTTGATCTTCCTCGTTCGACTTGAAACTTTCCTGTGTGGCTCTTTGTTGGCATTCTCTGCTCATTGAAGGAGGTGGTAGTCGACAATCAAACATGGTCACGTTAGATGTGCTACTCATGAGTACTGTGGTACGTGGTTCTGCTCAGCTTATGTGCTGGTCACAGTATTAGGTGGCACCTTTCTTTTTGCACCATTGAGGTCCTCATTTGGTCACCACAAGTAATTATATAGACACCAACCTTCATATTGGTCTCACAAAGTGGATACTTGGACAAACAGCACAATACTGTCACATACATTGCGGATATGACTGTGTCTATTACATGACCACCAAGCGCCCATGATTCAGCCACCCAGTCACGTGACACTGGCCACTTGCCCTATTTGGAAGTTGTCAGGTGTTGGTCACGTGACACCAGGCCACTTGCCCAGAAAGGAACCTTTTGGGCCACAATAGAACCATCAAGCTAGCAAGCACCCAATTCGTTGCTCAATAGTGGCACCACCTTGTCACTCAGATAAGTGACACCAACCCTATTGGCTACTCCATAGTGGTCCCATGTCGTCGCTCATTAGTGGCACCACTTTGCTGCTCAAATAGTGGCACCATCTTCAGGCAATTATCTCATTGGGTAAAGTAGGATTACCTTAGCGTATCCACGGCCTTTATAGATAGTTGCTATAGCAAAGTCCAGAACCATTACTGATTTTGGCAATATGTTCATCATGTAGACAGGACAGGACCCCAGTAAGTACACCATAGTTAGGGTACCCAGGGTCCACCACTACATGTATATAAGCACATGAGAATCTAAGGGAAGACCTTAGATTCATTCACCTATTTTATGCAGCCTAACAGCCAATTCACCCCCTTGTTGTGAGCATAAGGCTAAGGGCCCTTTGAGCCCCTTTTTTAGGCTGTATGTCACTGCATGCCTGGTTTGACCCTACCTGAGCAAACCCCTTTTTTGTGCAGGTCGCTGGACGCTGGCAAGCACCTTGCTGCCATTTTCTTGCCTTAGAGCACAGGATCTAATGCACTGTGACAGTGCTGCTGTCCACGTCTTGTATATATATGCTCCGTTCCTGTCAGTGACATGGTCAACATTGTTTCAGATGATGCTCGATGTGTTGGTTTTGTCATTCTAACTGATGTCCTGCTAGACATCCTTCCGTACTGCTCTTTACTCAAAGTTGTTCGCTTACATCGTCTTCATCTCACTTTTTGTTCTTGCTCGCTGGCCGCTTTAGTGTCATTGTTACAGGCACATCAGTGTTCCATGTCCTGCCCATCTTTGGTCATGATATTTGACTTTCTGATCGACGTTCATTTGCCACCCCACTTTCAGACATGGTCGTCTGTGTTTTCTTTTGAGTTTATGTCTCGCTTTCTGCTCATCAAAGGCACACTTTCTCCTGCTGACGGTATCATGTACGAGTTCATTGGCATTGTCGATTGCAGCGCTTTCAGCTTCAGTGATGGCATACATTGCGAGTTGATCGTGGATGTTCTGTTACTATTGCTTCTTCCCGGTCTACATACCTCCTCAATTTACATTCTTGCTATACACCATGGCATTTCTGATGGAGAGTGTAATGTTCTGCTTGATTGAATCATTCAGCTGTTGTGTGAACATCATTGTGGGCTCTGTGCGGGTCAGTATCCTTGTTTTCGGATGTTACAGTTCTCTTCTGACGACAGTAATCGGCTACTGCAACAACATCACATTAACAGTGGTCATGACGACTGCTCTCGACCATCAGCCCCTCTACCGGGGTCTGCTCCTCTATCGTCGTCTATTGATGATGCATCATTTCCTCCTCCACCACTTGCGCTCGCCGATCATTTGAGCATTGTTTGCTCGTGGTGCGATAGTCTGCAGCCATTCACTGTGTACAAATCTCCGTGTGCTGGCTGTGCGTGTCTGATGCCGAGCAAAAAGGTTGTTTGTGCTCGCTATGCTGATGTCGATTTGCAGCTGCTTATTCATGATGGCAAGTACGTCACTTGTGTTGAACGTCACTGTGCAAGTGACAATATGTCTGAATGATCTGGTCCTGTCATATATTCACCTGCTGTGCACGATATCGATGGTGTTCTATGGCTCGACATATGTGATGGATGCCGTACTATGCTTGTTCGACACAGACTTTCTCGTAATGCCATTGTGAATGGTCTATGGATTGGTGATGTACCTTCTGTACTTACTGAGTTGACGTTTGTTGAGCAGATGTCGGTGGCTCGAATACGTCATAACTCGTTCATCATCAAGGTTACTATGGGACAGCATAAGATGATGGCGAATGCGATTGTGTTTTCACAGCCCATCAAAAAGGTGTACGACATTCTTTCTCCTCCTGTTTCAGATTTGGAACAGGTCCTCACAATTTTATTCACCGGGCCTACTCATCCGGTAGAGTCAGATTTTCGTCGGACTCCTTTGCTGGTGAGACATGCTGTTGTTTTTGCAGCTGGCTGAAGCTGAATCATGTCGACTACATGGACATTTCTATCTCTTCTGAGAATTTGGCTGCTTATCTTGAGCACGAACCTCCTGTGACTGTTCTTCATAGGCCGGATGATGGCTTCACTCCAGCTGAGGCAATGTCCGTTCATGAGGTCAACATCGAGCAAGGTTCGGATTCAGGTCTATGTTCGTTTGTTGTCCATGGTCTCTCAGCTGCTGATATTGCTACCATGTCTTACAGCACTCGCATTGCTACAGCACTCCGTTACTTTCACGATGGGGTGGTGTGTTGAAATATGGTCAAAGTGATCATCCTGAAAGTATCTATCACAATCTGAAGTTGTTCCCTGGTATGTTTCTGTGGCTCTTTCCATATGGTCTTGGAGGGTTCGAGAACACCTTAATACACGTTCAAGTGCACCGTGCTTAGCACGTTCGCAATCTGCTTCTTTATGCTGATCAGCATTTTCAAATTGATGCCTATTTTCCTTTCATTGCTTTTGATCAGCAGCAGTTCAGAGACACATTCCATGGTGGCTATCTTTTAACTGACAGGAGGAATTTTTCTTCAGTTGCTGATTGCATACTGTCTATTCAGACAGACATTTTACAGTGGCTTGTCAATCATGCATTGAGTGTATCATTTTTGAAGCTGATGGACAAAGACGAAGCATGCTGTTTTGAACTCATCTCCGTCCTCAATCATGTTTCTGGCCATGTGGATGGATCATTGGCAAGGCGAAAACAAATGTGTTCTGAGATTCGGTCGTTGATCATCACCATGAATGTTCCTATATTTTTCATCACGTTTTCACCTGTCGATATCAACCATCTGCTCTGTCTGTATTACTGCGGTGAATGACTTAATATCTTCAATGATTTTGAACAGTTTTCTGCCTATGCTGAGTGATTGCGCATCATCGCGGACAATCCTGTTGCATGCACTCAGTTCTTTGATTTCATGGTACTGTCACAATATTAAGTGGCACCTTTCTTTTTGCACCAATAAAGTCATCATTCAGCAACCACAAGTGGTTATTTGGACGCCAACCTTTATATTGGTCTCACAAAGTGGATACTTAGACAAACAGCACAATACCACCACATACATCGCGGATATGACTGTGTCTACCACATGACCACCAACCGCCCATGATTCAGCCACCCAGTCACGTGACACTGGCCACTTGCCCTATTCAGAAGTTATCAGGCATTGGTCACGTGACACCAGGCCACTTGCCCAGAATGGAACTCTTTGGCCCACAATAGGCTTACCTGTGCTCATTGAACCATCAATCTAGCAAGCACCCAATTTGCTGCTCAATAGCAGCAACTACTACATGGCAATTATCTCATTGGGTAAAGTAGGATTACCTTGGCGTATCCACGGCCTTTATAGATAGTTGCTATAGCGAAGTTCAGAATCATTACTGGTTTTGGCAATATGTTCACATGTAGGCAGGACAGGACCCCAGTAAGTACACCATAGTTAGGGTACCCAGGGTCCACCACTACATGTATATAAGCACATGAGGATCTAAAGGAAGACCTTAGATTCATTCAACTATTGTATGCGGCCAGCAGGCCAGCTCCCCCCTTTTACCTTTTGTGCAAGGCCATGCATTGGGGCTTTGCCTTGATTGCTGGTTGTATGCCACTGTGCACCATCCTCAGCCTAGCCCTTGTGGCAGGCTTTTATGTTGTGAATTTATTTGTGCAGGTCACACAAGCAGACTTGCCCTTAATTGGGTTAAGTGCTTTGTGCTTTGTGACAAGTACGCTCTTTCATAATGATTGTGCTGGGACTCGGATCTAACCACAGGGGACTATTCGGTGAAGTGTCCGCCTACTATGGTATCATAGAGTCACAAGGCAGGCTTATGCTTCATATGCATATGCTTTTATGGATTCTTCACTCGTTCAGCCCGTCTGAGATTCGAGAGCGTGTGTTACACGATTCAGGCTTTCGATCCTGTCTGTTGACTTGGCTGGAAAGCTGTCACCAGGGTGACTTCTCTGCAGGGACGATGGACGACATTGGTGTAAGAATGGCTGCACGTGGACTGACAACTGGTGATGATGACAGTTGTTCCTTATACATGCCTTCAACGGTTCTCACTCAGCGACTCCTTGATGCGAAATTGAATGAAGCTATTCGTGATGCCTATCATAGCGTTTGCGAAGATCCTGATGAAGTCGTATATACATCCAATCGCCATACTTGCAGAATTCAAATGCAACATCGTAAAGGGTGTAAACAGGATAACAATGACAGTTGCCGTGCTTGCTTTCCTCGAGAACTGTGGCCAGAAACTGTTGTCGATGAGGATTTTGGAGCAATTAATTTCAAAAAAATAGAGCCATGGATAAATACGTTCAATCCTGTCATTTCCTCTGTTTTGCACTGCAACACTGATGTAACTTGTTTGCTTTCTGGAACCCAGGTGAAAGCAGTGATTACTTACCTTACAGACTATGTTACAAAGTCCCCTTTGACGACACATTCGATGTTTGACAGTGTGCGCACTGTGCTTGATCAAAATGTCCAAGCTATTAAGCAAGCCTCTGATCAGGAAGATGTCGCTTGTTCTGTAGTCATCAAGGTTGTGAACGTGTTGTCTGTGAAGATGGCAATCGGGGTGCCGATGGTTTGTGCATATCTTCTTGGGTTTTCTGATCATTATACTAATGTTCAGTTCAAAAAATTCTTCTGGTCTCCATATGTTGCCTTTGTGGATGCCTTCACACAGTTTTCTTCTCAGTCTGCGACTTGTGAGAACTTCACATGCACTGACACGTACTCCATGAATGAATGCACCTCTTCTGATGAGTCCTCTCAGGTGGTTATTGGTCAGACCAGTGATCGAGTAGTTCCAGTGAACAGGTCTGATCTACTCATGAATGTGATCGGCACTGACAATATCATTTCTGCAAGCCCCACTCTCCTATTCCATCACCGTGGCCTGTACAATATCACAAGATGCTGAAAATTGAATCGCTCAGTGATTCTGAAATATGCAGACCGAGGATATGTGTTCGCATCTACATACAACTGCTGCCTGGACCGCAATCCTGCCTTGTCACCCATTACATTGCTGCAGAAAGCAACACACGTTCCATGATCCAGCCTGCCTTCGACTCACTTTCAACCAAACTCATGACACTATTACAACTGACAACAAACTCTATGTCACTTGGCGTATGTCAGACACACCTTGCAGACCACAGTGTACGACCCTCACAGCCGGCCCCGCCACCTTCTGTCACGGTAACACCGGACAAGAGATCAAAAAGACTAAAAAGGGACAGTCACGTGGAACGTGCCGCCCTGATCCCCCTGATCCCAAAAGTATCTCCCTGATCCCTATGTGGCGCAAGAGCCTGTTGACTTACTGGTCGATGTGGCAGACGCAGGAATGGGTGAGAGATATATGAAGGAGCTGGTGAGCTCAGTGAGTGCTATGGGTAGTAGACGAGGAGAAACAATCTAAGGTTTCGTCCCCTATATGGCTGGTCTTATATACACGTACAGCAGGCTATCTTACCTAAGCTACCTATCTATGGGTATAAGCAAATGGCCATACATGAAACAATAGGATGTCCGGAAGTAGAACAATAAGTGGGAAGATCGATGGTTGCCGCAGTAATGTGTGTGCACATCGTTCCTATCTTGGTTTCCCTTTTGTTCTCCGGTGTGAACATCGTACCTATCTAGGCTTCTGGCTAAACTAATAGGAAGTGGAAGGCCTATGTATAACAATAGTCCTTGTTCCCTTTGTTCCCAAATGGGTGCCTCTATTGTATCCTGGAATAGACAGGTCCGACCGTATCATCCACGGGTCTGGACCATAACATGTGATGTGGACTATCACCTGATCTCTACGTGTCGCGTCTGTGGCTGAGTGGCGTGAGATATTGGTGTAGCACGTGATCTGTGGTGTGAGAAAAGTCACGTGCAGACTTTTTGGTGAAAATCTGTGACACTACCCCCCTCTCAAGGCTCATTGTCCCGAGGAGCCAAAACCTTTATTACCCCTTCTAGTTGCTCGCAATGGTTGGTAGCTTCGGGAGGGAAGCCCTTCTGCATAATACTCGAAGATTATTTGGGCTATTCTATCTCCCGGCTTGACCGAAAATACAAAATCCGTTGTGTTGATTAGTACGACCTTGAGTTCCCCAGTGTAATCTGGATCGACGACTCCTGCGCCCACGTCAATTCCTCGTGCAGCTAGTCCGCTGCGTGGAGCTATTCGTGTATAGGTATGTTTGGGAGGGTCAATCGCGACTCCCGTTCCTACCACAGCTCGTGAATGCGGGGGGATTTCATGTGTTTCTGCTGCATAAATATCCCATCCTGCTGCTTCATTTGAGGATTTTTTTGGTGATTTGGCGAGATCTGTCATCTTATGATATAGGAAGAACTCATCTGGATGGTCGGACATGTTGATTCGGTGTGTGGAGAT